TATATTATATACTGTATAATGTCTCTCAGGATTGATTGAATCATTGACTGCCTGGGGTGCATGGTGTCTATTCTTCAAAGCAGGAGGAAACAAGCGCAAGAAAGGTACCCCGCTTTATTGTGGGTTCACCTGCTTGTATTGTCCCAAACCCTAGACCATGTTGGAACCCCTGCGCGTGTCTTCAACTAGCTCAAATTTGTGGGCAATAGATCTTAATATTGACAAGAATCAACGGCGAACGGAAAGAGGCATGTATGATGTTGACGGTCTTTGGAACATATGTCCCTCTGAGTTTAGCATTTTAGGTGGATGTCGTGCTGCATTGTGCAGCCTTGGTGGACTGGGCAGCACCTCTTCATCGGTCTCTTCAAACCAATGCCATCGGCTCCAAACGCGTGGCGGAGTTTGCGAAAGCAGCGGACGCGCGCTTGGTGTGCTTTGGCATAAGACGTGCGCGGTGCGCGTCCGGGCAAGAACTGGAAGGACTAGCTTGTACAGGCTTAGCTTCTTCATCAGCGGATATATACTCTTATTATGTGGTAATATACATATATATATAATATGCCTTTGGGACAGTCTACTTGCCTCCGGTCCTTTACCCCTTTTGGAACTTCTTGAGGTTTTTGCTTGACGGCGTCGATATTGCTTGGTTTTACAGGTATTTTCTCAACCACATCGCCATAAAGTAGCTCAAATATCTTTGGTCTCCAAGAGGTTTTATGGGGTTGCGGTTTTGCCATCGGGTGCTTCTGCCTCGGACGGCATCAGCTTTGTGATTGAGACAACAGCTGCTTGCTGCCAGAAGCATGTTGTTTTCTATGTATAGCATTTCCATGCATTTCCCATTCCTGATTGTCTTGACACGAGCGAGCTTGGGTTGAACTGGTGGGAACTTGTCGCTAGGTGTGTCTCCACGGCCTGGGTGCATGGGATGGTGGCGGGCAAGTGCCCTGAAGTGATGTTAAAGCGTTCCATCGACCCGGAGGCGGAGCTGGCACGATGCTTCTCGCAACTGGAAGAGTTCCAGCAGACATCGGTACAGAAGAAATCTATGTTTCTGCAAGAGGCCGAAGGGGAAAAGACAGAGAGTGCTACAAGAGGGAAGTGATGGTGTTTTATTAACGTTGTGCATGGTTGTGCATGGATTCCAGACTTGGTTGCCTGTGCGAATGGATGTGAGCACACTGGAGGCAAGTCATCGCCTTGGTCCAGGAAGTGACCTCAAGTCCCTTGAGACTTTGGCAGAAGAGATGCGCAAGAAGTGGATCGATGCTCAGAGAAATGGACATTGTTTGATTTATCAGAAAATACACAAATTCTCAATGTTTCCATTGAATGGTGTATACAGAATCCCATGCTCAAAGACCGAGGGTCACAAACATATCGAAGACATTTGCTTCCTAACCTATCAATTTACAACGAGGATGCTCAAATGGCTGAATGGGGAGTTGCTCACGCTCGTGAATGTGGGTGGTGGGATGGCTACACCTTTTCAAAGGCCATTGCTGAGATGTTGGTCCAAGACATTCAAGACCGCACGCCGTTTGCGATTCTGGGGCGCAAAAAGTTCCTACTGCTCACTAAAATTGTCAAAGCATGTAGCAATGTAGCATGTCCAAACTATATAACAATATAACATTATATTGATATATATATATAATGATATAATGATATATGCATATGAATCATATGAATACATGTTAATATCACATCCATGTACTCATGCACGTATTGATGTGTGTCTTTTTGTTGTGCCTTCTTGAGTTCAACTCTTCTCCTCGGTTCCGAGGATTGTGCGCCCTTCTGGTGTCGTGTCTGCCGCGTCGGAGCCTTTGCCGGGTTGGGTGGACGCCTATTTGTTGGTGGAGCCTTTGATCGAAGGCGTCGGTCGAGGAGAGATCACCCAGTTTCCGGGCCGACGCTTGGTGGACTTGGTGGAGACACGGGCATGAAAATGGTCCAACGCGTGGAAAAAAATTGACTAAACTTAATTAAACTAGACCCCCCAAATTTGCGACGATGCAGCTATCTTGAGTTACTCGACGGGTCTGTGCAAAGTGAGGAAGTGGTTGTGTCATCGATTGTGTACCTGTGGATTACGTTTGCAACGTGATCATTGCGGCTGCCACGATGCACGGGAGTGACCATGGCGACGGCTCGCCGTTGGTTTACCAGTGCGCTTCAGGCGACGTGTGTCCCAACACCCTGGGCGAAATCGAGTCAACCTGGCGACAGTACTTCCAGAGCCAACCAATGCACCGAGATGGGAAAGCTGTACAAGTGGATCCGGTGAGGTTTGTGCCAAGCGCTGAGGATTTTGCAACTGAGCTGAACATGGCTTTCAGAGCTTTTATGAACGATATGTAATGTGTTTCAAACAATGAGATTGCTCACAAGATCATCAAAGGGCCCACCATCAGGACTTGAAGCACTCATCTAAAAAGTAAAATACGTCGTGACTCAGACGTTACGGTTCTTCGCGAAGAGGTGAGGTCTTTGCGTTTGCGCTATATCACTCCCTTGTGGACCTGCAGCCAAGCAGTGCAGCTTCTCCCCGGGTGGCAGCACTCCAACCTGCTGCGCTCCGCTCGCTCGTGGCTGGAGCGGAAACGACGAGGGGTGGAGAAAGTCACGCTTCTTGCCCGGTCACCTGAAGCAACAAGAGTATTGGTCGAACCGATCTTTTTAAACCCCGAAGGGGTAGGGAGTCGCTAGTAGGGAGAAGTAGCTAGTAGAAGCTAGGCAGCTAGTAGCTTAAGTAGCTACTACCTAGGACGCAGGATAGCTCACGGTTCGCCCTAAACGCGGTAGGCTTCTTGAAGCATTGCAATGAAACATTCTACAGTTCCTGTCTCAGTCGTTCGAGGTTGTATTCGACGTACACGCTGAATGAATGGTCCTTTGAAACCTCGCGGACGCGTGAGCTCATGGCTGCTGTGGCCGTACCCGGCTCGGTGCCCAGCAACCAGGGCCTGCCCCGGCCCGAGCGCTTCCCGTACTTTGCGCAGGGAAGGCCTTGGGATTGGACGGAATTTTGGACTCAAAAGCACATCCCAGGTATGCGACGCTGGGTGCTGAAAGAAAGTATCCCATCTCGCCTTTGAGGGCTGCTCTCCGAAGTTGGAGGCATTTTGAAGCCCAGGAAAAGAATCGTTTCCTCCATGGTTGTGCTGAGATGATTTATTTACGATGTAAAGATCTCAATTTTCAGCGGCAGACCGCAAATGAACCGATGGCACTGTGGCCAAAGGTGTGTGTCACAGTGAATGAAGATCGAACAATCGAAATCACAGGTTCGTGCTTTGCTCACAGGGCGTCCTTCATACACTTTGCCAATGGACAAAGAGTCATCAAGAAATAGTCTAGTCTACACATCTACAGAAACTCTTTGATAAACATGTGCGCATGACAACAGAAACGGGACGACATTGCTGCCCCCAGCTTGTCTCTATTGATTTTCCGCCCAAGTCTAGCTGGGTTTTAGAGGCAACGTAGGTGGGTCATCGACCACTTCCCCAGATGCCCAAACGCAGGTGATGGAGTGGGTATGCTAAGTATGCGTGAGTGGAGCAAGGGCACAGGCAGGGCCGTCAGGGCCGTCGCACTGGCATCACGAGAGACCCCTCGCTGCATGGTGACCTGAGGGTTGGCGACTTACCGTGTACAAGATCCTATTTATTTGTGCGTACCCTTGGATGCTGTTTGTGCACCTGTTGTTCAATCTCTTTTCGAGAGTGGGATATGCGGCTGCATGGGGAGGATGGTTTCAAAGGATTCCCTGAGTTGGTGACGGAAGATGCGCCGGCCGCATTGAATGCGCAACTGTGCCCGCTTGCAACGTAGCCCATCAGGCCCAGCACCCCGCAACTACGTGGCTACGTGTTTGTGTCCCCAGAAACATGGGCCCAGGATGATTTTACTTGACCTTGGGTCCCATGGTCATATCCTTCATTTGATGGGGACTGGCAGAAAGCCGCCAGATTTGATAGGAACGAGTACTCCACTTGAGATGTGTCATGGATGTGATGTGTGGTCCATGATGGCAAGAGCGTGCACCTTGTTTGAAACTTGTATTTTACCTGCCTGGAGGTGGTGGAAGATGGCTTTTTTGCGGTGAGCCGTACCTACAAAAAGCTGCAGAAGGCAGTGAACACAATGACTCACAATTCAATAAAGAGATGATTCCATGAAAGATTGGAGAGGTCGCATTGTGAGCAAACAAGCTATTGTGTCAAAAGATTACTTATTGTGTCATGCTTTTGTTCACTAGTTCACCACTTCACGCTTCACCGCCGAGAGGAAACCCGCCCTCACATCAAACCGCAGAAGAGGGTGGTGGTGAAAGGCTCAGTGTGCTAGTCGGGTGTGTTATATCCGGAGTGGTTTTGAGTCTTGTTTTCTGAGGACATTCGTGGCCTTTGGCGAGTCAATCGTGGCTCCAGACTGAAAAAAGCTGCCAAGGAGTCCCTTTCCAAGTGGCCCCGGTGGTTTGGAACTCCAACGTCAAGTTGATCACAAACCTGACGATGATTGACTTTCTGTCAACGCGCTGGCCTCACCTTGGCATGGCCGTAGTTAGCCGTAGTTTGGCCATAGCCATAGCCGATATCTGCAGGTGATGGCGACGGAGCGTTTCTCCTGGCCTCACATGAGCGGTGGCAAGTAGAAAGGCACAAATGCTGTCTTTGTGAGGAAAGGCAAGTCATGGCTAATTCAGGTCCGAGTGTTGTTGCTTGAATCAGATCAAGTTCTGAGCACCAGCGCCTTCACTTTCCTCAGCCGCTGCCTGAAGTCAGGTTTCCAAGTTAGTGTCAGTTGCAAGTTAGTTTAGTTTAGTTTCATGCCTTAGCCTTAGCCTTACACAACCCTTCAGTGGTCCGTGTCATTATAGCCCCTCAGAAACTGCTCGGACAATCCTGGACAGTGTTCCCATTCCAACAGACCATTTCGAGGGAGAGGCGCAACAGAAAATACATCTCTCCCGGCTTTGGGTCGGCATCAGCGATGAAGATCCGGCTCAGCCTGGCTCATCGGCTACTGACATGGGTTGAGAATAGTTTATTGTAGCTTGACATTCCAAACTCCAGACTAGCCAAAGGGTGACTTTACTTTAAATGTGATTGCTGTTTGTTAGTTTTGATGTATGAAAAGGTCGTGAAAGGGCGGCCGGGCCTGAAATCGATTTAAGACCTGGATTACCTTGACGGCGCTCAGAAAGTGCTTAGTTTCGCACGCAGACAGCGCGGACAGAAGCATAGAATTGTGTGAAACCATACGTTCTCCAGGAAAGGACACCTGATTCAAGGCCCAAAATTGGGAGCCCAGCTGACATGATGTCATCAAAGCAATTCTCATGCGCATAGGCGCATAGGTCAGGACCTTTGCTCAAGTTGATCTTAAGCTTGCGTGGCTGAGTGCCTTAACGCGAGTTTTTGGTCGGTACTTGTACTTGTTGGAAATGAGAGCCATGAGCCATGTGCTTTGTTTTCTTGTGCTGTGGCTTGAAGCCAGTGCCAACAAGCACAACTGGCCTGGTCACTGGACTAGATGCTCACAGAAGTTCAACTTCCCAGGTATGCAGTGTGGACACTACCTTGACATACATACGAATTTCAGTGCCGTTGCCATCGTTGTTACTGTCAACCTTTTGCGAAGAAAACGCCTGCTGTCGCTCCATCCAGCTCAAATCTAGCTCCAACCCAGCTTCAAAGACAAGATCTTCGGGGCTTGGTGTGGGTGCAGCCTGGTGGATAACACGTGTGTATGTGGTCTTTGCATGTGTGAGGAAGATGCCAATATGGCCTTGGCTGGGTTTGGCTGAACATTGGAGGAGTTGAACACGGTTGAAGTTATTTGAGTTATTTGTGCCAGCATCAGTGGCCAGTTGACCTCTTTTCGGACCTGATCACGACAACTGACACGGCACTTGACGGCTGCCTCACTTGCCTCACTGGTCGGGATTTTCCATTCGCCCCGGCCCACGGCGCCATGACCACCTTCACCTTGGCGCCACCCGTATCCCAAGAGCCGAAGCCACTACCTGCAGCAGTGAAAGTGAGTGGGGGAGCTCAGGGAACTGCTATGATCGAGGCACAACTTATATAATTGGTCCACAATGCAAGAACAAATATGATGAAACGCACAACAAGCTAGGCATTGATGACAATTGCAAGTTTGCTGGACACGTGGTGGGTTCATCAAGATCAAGGACAGTTTATTCCGAGTTTCCTTCGTAATGGTTACTGCTGGTTAGAATGTTCTGCAACAAGCCTGCAGCGTTTTCCTCCGGAGTCGTGTGAAGAAATGAAGAAAACAGAGAAGCAGATCACGCCATAGGGAACAAGCATGAACATGCACGTACGAAGACAACCAACATCAACCAACTAGTGCCGATTGTTTGCGCTGAGTAGTTTCGATTCGGAGAGATGTGGCTTCACATCAGCCGCCAGAAGGTGAACTATTCTGTTCGGAGATCCATTTTTTAAAGCCCACCTGAATCATCCAGTGATCCCAGGATTTCTTGAAGATGAAGGTCTTGTTCCCACTCATTAACGGATGCATCAAACATCAGGTCCAGAACAAAAAGCTCCGCACAACACCGTCACGGGCTCTTTACACGGAGAATAAACTTCAGTTGTGAGGCGCGGAAGCCTGTAGAAAGAAGGTGCCCAGCGCCACGGGGCAGCTCTTTAAGTGCCTTGGACCTTGGACTCCTTTGATTCATGGCCCCATCCATGGCAGTGGGTCACATTTGTGTGGTCTTCTGGCGGTGAGTGTTCTGGTGACGCAGTGGGTCACATATATAATGAAGCTATTTGTTAGGGGCATCGTTTCCTTTTGTTTGCATGCTGTCCCTTTTGTGGTGCAGCTTTAAAAGGTGCATTGGGCATGGCATGGGCACCACACGGCGTAGCGGACAGTTGAGTGTTTGGTGTTTAACCGCTGGAAGAAATGGCCTTAACTTGTCCAGTTTCTTTGCCAACGAGGAGGCTCAACACACAAACACATGTGCTTGTCGTGTTGAGAATGGTGATTGCCAGTGTGGTATGCCGTGATATACCTTGTCGTGCTGCTGGTTGGTTTTCGTTTGTTGCCTTCAAATCTTGATGGAAAACAGCAGCATTTGTTTGCGAGGAACAAGAAGCTACTAGGAACAAAGGGCATCGCTACTAGGAGCAAGGACGTTACTAGGGGCTCCTGGCATCGCTACTAACTAGGAACAAGAAGCTACTAGGACCTGTTGGTTTTCCATCGTGGTGATGTCAGCCTCAGGTGTTTGGCATCGAACCCCCTCGTGGACGAGCAGAAACTTGAACAAACACCACTGAAGAGAAGTGTGCTATCAAACCCAATCTGCTGAGGATCTTAGTAGGAGTAAAGAGATGAGCATACTGACATGCTGATGAATGTGGGGTGTAGGTGCAAGAAAATAATGCACTTTGGCATTTGATCAGATCAGAGCTTCTCTACCATGCATCACGAGGCTTTTCGACATGCCCTCCTTTTAGTGCTGCGTGATGTGTACAAATGTCGCACGGTCACATTTTATTCAGGTCGTCGAGATCTTGGCACGCACCGAGGACCGAGATCATCACTCGTTGTGGATGTTTTCATTCCTTCTTGGAGATCGGGCATGAATGTGTGTTTCTTGGCTGCACAGCGTCCTGTACTGTATTTAGACACGATCACTTGGGCAACATGACGTCCTCTGATGCTGCCACAAGGCTAGGTTGGTTGTTCTTTTTGCTGGCTCAGGGCCCACCTCGAGATTGAGAAAGGCGCTGTCATACGGGACATTTTCACAGCACAGGCTGCCGAGTTTACTGCCCTGAAGCATGGCATGGCTGTGGCATATTCTCGGATCAGATCAAGTATCGAATGGCTAGATTTCTCGAGATCGCCTTAAAGTCCAAGAGTGTGCTATGAATCCTGAAGCATCCTGAAGCTATAACATCCTTTGACCCTTTGATATGAGTAGACTTGAGCCAGTGCCGATGTTTTTGTGCTCCACCGTTGCAGCGTTGCTACAGCGCAGGTGGGAAACCGTACCCGTGAACTTTGCGAGCCTTACTGGAGACAGTGGGGCATCGTGACCGAAGGATCTGCAGAGAGCTGGTTCGTTTCTCGGCGAAAAAAGAAGCCCTTTGCGATGCTCCTAGTAGCGATGCCAGGAGCCCCTAGTAGCGCCCTTGCTCCTAGTAGCGATGCCAGGAGCCCCTAATGGCGTCCTTGTTACTAGTAGCTTCTTGTTGCTAGTAGTAATGGCCTCCAACCTAATAGCGATGGCCTCCACCTAGTAGCGTCCTTGCTCCTAGTAGCGATGCCCTTTGTTACTAGCAGTAATGCCTTTGTTGAACGTAGTTTTTTGTGCATCGGGACGTTGACATGTTTTGAGACCTTTGTATCCAATAACATTAGCAGCTTAGCGTGAGGTACTTGTAGAGATCCAAGACCCACTCGGACCGAACTGTGAGAAGGAACGAGTGAGCAACGCACCTGCTGTTTGATAAAAGAATGACGTCAGACGATTGCTTTTC